AGCAAGTTGCATTGATCCACATTTTCATAAATATAAAGGACATCTAAAGTACTGGAATATATAAGCACAAAGACAGGATGCTGCAATCAGTTATTGGAAGTAATCCCACCACACACAATTGTACTTCAGCAGTTTCATTTAGCTTTCATTTATTGTCCCTATATATCCTTTCCTACTGCTATTGAGTGGTTCCTCAGATAAATGTTAGATCGCTGATTTGTAACTCAACAGTTTGCTTCAGGGATATGTCCAGTTGGTGCATACCGGAAAATGGTCTCCCACAGGACAGAGGCTCACCCCTATTAGCTACCTATATAAATCCCAAAAATCTCATCTATGACAGCTCATTCAGTGGAGCCTGGAATTTTTGCCACCTGGAGCTCCTCTTGAAACCATGACCTGACATTTATTCTGTAGAGGGAGACAAAGCCTAGATTGATGACATGAGCTGGCTGTGCAGAAGCAGGTTGATAACTTGCCTTCAGGGACTCCTTCTGTGCAATGAGACCTTCCCAGTGTACATTGCTATTACTTTGTAAAGAACATATTACCCCTACAAACAGCCAGTACCAGAGAAATACAAAATCTTCCTTCCGGGTTTACTGGTGTTCCTTGGAAAGCTAATGCCCATTTGACAGACAATTGCCACTCAGTGGTGGATTAACCACTGGGCCAACGGGGCCCCAGCCAATTGGAATGCCCTGGTGCCCTGACCTGGTCTGTCTGCCCACCAACCCGGGGCTCTTGCACCCGCTCCCTGGCAGGAGTGCTGGGGGGGGGGGGTGGCAGGAGGAAGGGGTGGGGAGGAGCCCCCACTTGCTCTGGCCCAGGGTCCCACAAAACTGTAATCCACCTCTGCTGCCATTCAATTTTGTAGCTGGAGTTAGGGATAATGACAAGAGGCACAATTGCAGGATGTGTTAGGGCCAACAGTGGTCCAGCTCCTTGTTTACTAAAATTGCTGCCCCTCAAGCACAAAAGTGCAGTACCACAAACATTCTAGCAATTATCACTCACCTCCCCAGCTGGTTGCAGTATTCTGAGACCTCCAGCAAATTTTTAATATCCCATCAGTGTGCTACCTGCTTTTCTACCAAATCACCTTAGAACCTCCTTAGCTTTCATAATAACTTCAGCAAGGCTAAATGGCCTGCCCAGTAGAACAGGAACATCAGTGCTTCCCCGCAATACGTGTGTTTCAGATTCTGATATCCCGTGTTGTCCTGGGATTCTACTGACCCATTTCCAGTGCAATCCTGGGTCATGTGGTAGATGTGGGGCTGATGAGAAAATGGTTGCTGTGGTTATGTTGCTGAACAGACAATGTGACTAGGAGAGGATTTCATAAGCACAAAGGTTGATAATGGTATTTTATACCTGCAATAGGCAACTCCAAAAGCAACTCCAGAGTTGCAATTTTTTATAATGATCTGATTGCCTATCTATGACCAAGGTTACATAAGTACTGTAGTATTTTTATGGATGAATAGAATCCCGTCTTTTTCATACTGCAATTACTGTCTTCTGAGCTGTTGTATTCTGTATGCATGGAATCTACTTTTCCCATATCCATCCCCAGTAGTCAGGCTTTATTGAGGCCACCAGGAGGGTTGGAGATGTGAAATCCATCCTCCACCCACAGCCAAGGTGTGGAGATGGAAGACAATACTCTTAACTAGAGGCAGAAGTAGCTGCTTCTTCCCCACATATGTTGAGCCCAAGGGACTTCAGGGCCACAGGATTAATGTAAAGTGTAACTTCAGTTGCCAGCTCCTTGGCCCTCTCCCTTGCAGCTCTCTGTGGTGGCCCATGCAGGATCAGCAGGAAGCCCTTTGGAGGTGCAGAGATATACAGGTAAATATGTTTAGATAAATCATAAATCCCTTGAAGAACAAGTATGTCATTATGACTGTGAAGAGCAGGATTATGACTTGACCTGTAAGGTGGGTACAGAGCACAAAACGGTGGGGAGAACCCCCTGGGGTTGCAGCTCCCCCGCCGGCAAAGGGCAGAGCCTTGACTCTACCTTGCACGATGCTCTCCCAACACAGGTGAGCCAGTGCAGAATGAGAATGAATCTGCACCTGCTAACAGGCTGGCACAGACATGTTCCTAGAGGGAGGAAGGAAGGGAGCAGATTGTGGCTCTGAGCTAATTCAGTCTCAGGCCTGCTTGAGGGGCAGTGCAACTCCGGGCCAATTACATTCTCACAATCTAGTCTCAAGTGATCCCCTCCTCTTCCGGTGATGTATTTCTGATAATCACAGGGCATTATGGCCTACACTGTGTTTGATCACATCCCTTTTAAAGCTAGCTGATGTTTTACAAGAATAGATACCATAGACCAGGAAACAGCTGTCTTATGAATAATTCAGGAGCTTCTGTAAATATACAAATAAGGTTATTTTAGAATATAAACTACCTTCTGTTCCTTTAAATCTATCATTTTTCATGGGAAACTGAATACTACAATATTTCTGAAAATGCCCTTGGCATAATTTAGAGCCGCTCCAAAGCTGCTCCAAGTTACGTTGCCTGCAGGCAGACGCAGTGGCTGTAGTGGACAAGAAGTTGGCAGACTGCAAACCTCCATTTGCCCTAGCATGCACCTTTCTTTTCCTCCCTGCCCTCCAACAAACTCATGCTGAAAGGGATGGCACAAAGCTGCCTGTACTAGTTCCCTGTGTGAGGATTTCCTGTGATGGGGAATCCTTGGCTGCCCTCTTAGGGCAGCTTTCCAAATGGTGCAAACGACCTGCAACCAGAGCGCGAGTTGAGCTCATTGTGTTTGACTTTCAAATCGTGTAGATTCTGGAGAGGAAAAACGAAGGTCCAGAAAAGGAAGAGGGGGAATTTTGAAATGTTAAATATGTTTTTTGCCAAAATGTCATTTGTGTTGACATTTTCCAGCCAGCACTAGTAGTTGTGGATAGGAAATCACAGAACTGGGTTTTTAATAAAATAAAAGCATGCATCCCTACACTGATTTGCCGGCAGAGATGATTAACACGAGGAGAGCTAAGAAAATGGATTGTTATACACTTCAACTTCTCTTTTGATTTAGCATTTCAAATTGGCTGTAGGAGTTCTTGGATGCAGTCAGGACTGGAGGAGATTTCTCCCCAACCCCAGGGAAACAGACACACGTGCTCATTTAACAACTAATTGATTTATTTAACAATACAAATTTTCTTTCTATGCTTGGTTTAGCAGAGAGAAGTTGAGAAACAAAATTAGCTTATTTTTTTAAAGTTTAAATGTTTACACAAAAACAACCTTTACTTCAGTAAATATAAAATTTACACACACAAACTACATTAAAAAGAACAGAATCATGACAAACCAACAAAAGGATGGGAATTCAGAGTAAAGGACCAAATGTCTAGGAAGGATAGAATGGAGCAATGTTAAGAAGGCATCCCACCTGTACATCTAGATATTTGAAGTCTGATGTGTGATATGAAACCAAGTACATTAAAATAAGAATTACATCTCTTTTATAGCATATCTTTTGTGATTATAAATATCTGAATTCTGTAGGTCACATATTTAATATGTGAAATATATATTTTGCCCCTTCTTGGAAATTCATTGGAGTGTTGTGCATGCGTTCTTCTACATACAGTAATCAGCAAGGTCTTTGAAGTCTCTCCCCAGACTTTAGTTATCTTTTGTATGTAGCATAGTTCCTTGGTTCTTAGAAGCATGTTTCTTTGCCAATATGTATTATTTCTCACTATGTACAATTCTGTCGTGAGAAACTGAGGTTGCGTTCAGCAGTGGTTCCCAGTACTTTGTTCACTTGCACTAGTTTATTACCACACTAAGATCTCCACTGTATTGGCCAGTTCCCTAACTTATTCCCCGTTGCCCTTCACAGCCCAAGCTCCAAATTCCACCTCATAGTTCCTAAATATATCTAATTAGAGATATATGGGATATATAGTCCTTTGAGCCACCCTGAGGAAACGGTACAAATATTTAGAATAGAGCAAATGACACATGCTAAAGACTACCTCACCCAAGAACAGGGATGTAACAGTGATAATTAACTTTAGATAATCTTTAAATTCCTCCGCTGCTTTGATATTAAAACCTTGAAATTCTGCTTTCTACACATTTAATGTACAGAACATCTTAATAATGGAAGAGCTACATGTCCAAAAACACAATGTCACATAGGAGAGATTTACTTTTAAAACAGGAGCCAATTATTTGTAAATTAGTTTTAAAGGGATCAATGAACACTTTAGCTGTACTCTGCTATGACTCAAGTGTCATCACTACAGTGATCAACATCCTAAACAGAAAATTAGTGACTGTAGTTTTCAAACTGTATAGAATATACACTTGCATTTTTGTTGCACACAAGATTTCCTGGTGATGAGTCTAAAACTCTCTTCTAATTTTCAGTTTCACTTGCAATAATGCACTTCCCTACAAGTGTTTCCAATCTCTTTTATCATAATCCCTGTCTAAATCTCCTCTATTCCTTTCTTTCCCAGAGAGCTGACAAAGCATCCAATCGGACTTTGGAAGACTCTTTTCAATGGACAATTGCAGTTCTCTGGCTGGGCGAGCCACATTCTTGCCATTCAAATTAAGGAACAAAGCCTCAAGCTATCAAGAGCCTGGCCCTGCTCCAGCTGAACAAATGAATGGAAAACTCAGGTTGACTATTATGGGAGCAGGATTGGGCCCATTTAATTTATCCACAATAACTGCCATAGCAACCTCTTATTAACTGCTCTCATTTTAACTGAAAAAACCTTGTTAGTTAAAACAAAACAAAAACCAGAAAATATTTTCTGTTTAAAAAATAAAAATCCAGTGGAAAATTTTTACTTTTAAACAATCCACAGGTATACATTAAACATTTAATAGCAAGCCTTTGCTTGTGTATATTAATCCATAGAGACCTGCGATACAATAGCTTTGCATCACTGTTATATTTAAATTCACTCAAATACTAATTTAAATTAGGAAAACAAAGAAACTGCTCCTTGGGGAACATGTTTATTGTGTTTGAGATGATACACTGGGTGCTCTCTGAGCTACAAAGGGGAAAAGGAAATCCTTTCATTACAAACTGACAAAGGTAAAAGTTAAAACAGTTTTCACAACAGCATGTACCACATATTGGAAATAGATCTGGGTTTAATACAAATGACATAATTCCTAGTAATCTACAGCTACCTTTAATAACTTCATACAGATAATGTATTAGGCTAAAATGCACTATAATATTTGGTTGACTTCAGGAACAGTATCCTTAGTACATCACAAAATACATTTTGATATCCCAAAGAAGCAAGACTTGCAAGTAGGCTTTTTAAACATAACTAATCTACAGCTACAAAGTTCTACTCCTGATAGCATTTACCTTTTTTAGGGGGCAGAATCCCAGTCTTCAAAAGGATAAAAGCAGAGAGTAGAATCAGTATAACATATACACAGAAGTCCGTATTGTAAAGGCTATAAAGATTTGTTGCACACTGTCAAGTTGCCTCCTGCACCCTCACAGAGCACAAGTAGTTTATGTCATTTATGTTGCATATCTCTTGGTCCACTGTCTGGCTATCCTGTCATGTTCTGCTCTGTTGGTCAGGTACTGAGTGGCTATGCTTCCGACCAGAGGATCAGCTGTAACAGTTTGGGGTAAAAGAAGAGGAAGATAGGGAAGAAAAACAACATCAGAAATCGTTCTATTAAAAAAGGAAATATTTTAAAAATCACTTGCTTCCCAGTACACCCTCTGTGTGAGGCCAAAAAATGCTAGGCTTTGTAGCAGAGGGCTTGACACACAAGACATTTTCAAGAACAAACACTCAAAGCAGAATGAATAGGAAGGATTTTAATCTGTTTTGATTATCTGCAGGCTCCAACATTTAGTTTCTTTAAAAGACAGACAGACATCTGTGTTAAAATGTTATACCTTTTCATTTTAGCTGACTGTCTGAAAGACAGCTACAGGCTAGGAGTTACGTAAAACTAGAAACAGCCCAGGAGCCGTTTGTGTCTGGAACTGCTTGATATTATGCAAAATATATAATATTTTCACACTTTTAAAATGCTAAACTTAAAAAGAACTTCACATGCCACAGCAGGCCAAACGACTCCTGTGCAGATTAACACATCAGAGGTGTGTTAGAGGTGACAAAAGCATGATCTGAAAGATTTCCTCATGACACCCTTAAAAGAACAGATGGTTACTTCCAAGCTTATTAAATACCACATAGAGTCTGGTGCGATTGTATGAAAATTTAGATGACTATCACCTCACCTGGAAGCCCATTCTCTGTAAAGAACCTCCTGACTGGTCTCTCGTAGAGTACGTCTACACTGCAAAAAACCAAACGCATGCAGCGAGGCGCAGAGCCTGGGTCAGCTGACTCAGGCTCACACTATGGACCTAAAAATAGCAGAGTAGATGTTCTTGCTTGGCTTGGAGCCTGGGCTCTGAAACCTGGAACATCTACACTGCTATTTTTAGCCCCAAAGCATGAGCCTGAGTCAGATCACCCAGGTGCTGAGACACACTGCTGCAGGTTGGTTTTTTTTTTGTTTTTTGCAGTGTAGACATACCCTTAGTTAACCTATGCTCCCCAGGTCTCCTGTGACCCAGGATCATCAGGATTAATTTTATAAATACAGTGGGGGCCCGCTTAAATCTTTCTGCTGCTGAGAAGTGTTACCAGATCTACTGGAACTCCTGCAAACATGGATAGGGAAACTCTTTTTGAAAACAGCAACATTTTTCAAAAACCTGTGCATCTATTAGCAAGTTTTATTATTTCAACTCTCCTCCCCCTTAAGTTTTCTCACTGTCTCTTTGTACACAGACGCTCCATTTCGATGATCATACTTGTATCTGAAAGCTAAACTTTCCCCACGAGTCCATGTCTTTCTGAAAATAAGGTTACTAATCCTGGACAATTTATTCCACTGTTTTTCAAACTGGGTGGTGTGGCATGCCCTCCCTAGAGGTGGGTGGGGGAACAACGAAGCTATACGGGGGTGGGGGAAGCAGGGAGTGGCGGGTTGTGGACCGTCAAGTATCCAGGCCCCAGCAGGGCAGCATTGGGGAAAGCGCTCTCCCAGTCTCATTCAGTTTGAGCTCTGGCTCCCTGCCCTGGCAACCCCTTCAACAACTTGAAATAAAAGAGTAAGAAAAGCAGGGGAGCTGAAATGTTGTTTGGTTACTGGGATAGGATACACCATCAACATTTCACCTTCTTTGCTTTACCCCTTCCTTTATTTGAAAACATCGGAGTGTAGCTTCAACTGAACAAACATGAAAACTAAGATATTTCATAAACCGTACGTGCTAATTTACAGGATTTTTATGAATTCGAAGTGTTGGATGCATAGTGTAGTGTATATTAACGAATTCAAGGCTCTTTCATGATAAAACCCTTGACCAAATCCTGCTCCCATTTAACCTAGTGTAAATCCAGAATAAATCCATTGATTTAAAAGGATTACCCCGTATTCCTTCCAGTTTCACAGTCTTGGAGCTGTTTGAAACAATCTCCTCTTAAACTGAAAATCTGTACTGTCTCTCCCCCCCCACCCCCCCGCCACAAAATATATTTAAGGAGGCTGAATAGGAAGCTGTTTTTATATAATGGTCAAGTGGTTAAGGCAATGGAGTGGGAGTCAGGAGATCTGGGTTCTGTTTCTGGATTGTCCACTAACCTGCCATGTACGCTTGGGCAAGTCATGTCAACTCTCTGTATCCCTGTTTCCTCCTTCTGTAAAATGGGATAATGCTATTTATCCTTCTTAAAGATGGATGACTGAAAAGAGCCATATGAGAGCTAAGGACTGAAGTGTGAACTTGGCACTGGCTATGCGAAGGCTAGAAAATATATTGCAGGGAGCAATCTTGCCATGATACAAATTTAGATGGATTTAAATAAAACAAGGGGTTTTAATCTCTAATCTCAAACATCTATTTTAAGAGTGACAGCATTATTCTGTAGAGAATCCTCTATTGAATCATTTTTGCAGCAAATGAGCAAGAGTTCATGCTTGGTAAATTAGAATTTGCTTACCAGGATTGCAGTCTGTCAAGAGAGAACAAATAGACAGCAAAACCTTTGAAATAGTCAAAGCAGGGCTCCAGTTGTCTTTCAGAATATCCAGACAGATGACTCCCTGACTGTTGATGTTGCAGTGATAGATTCTGGTACGGAAAGTAACCTAAAGTTACAGACAAAAACCATTAAGTGCTATCTATGAATAGCCTATCCCTACCTTTTGGGTAGCAGAAGTTCTGAAGGATGCACTCTGCATGGAGCAGAACGTCTGCAGAGACCTTTCTCGTTCCCTGCATTTTAATGCACTTATCAAAAAAGTGCACATTTTGCTTCATTCATTGTAACTCCTCAGGAACCTTGGCCTCATTTACTGCACATTTGGTAGGTAAATCACTTTTTTGCAGACTCTTTGGCATGCACCCCGAGTCATACAGAGTACTACAAATGCAGCGTGTATTCAGTATAAATATTATATTGTGTTTGAGTAACAGTTTGATCATGAGCAAGACTGTATTACAATTATTGCAATGCATATGTACAAATGGACCGGGTTTGGCTTGCATGTGCAATCTTAGCTTTATCTTTTCCTTACTTTTCAGTACCTAACTGTGCAACCTTAGTATCTATTTAAATATTGCTTTTTAGGGAATGTATTGCTATTGTCATCTTCAAAGCATTTTACATATTAAATCCTCATTGCATCCCCGTTAGGCAGGAATTACTATACTTATAAAGCATTTCTATTGCAGTAAGTGCCATCATACTTCTGTTTTAATTTATTTCAGATTAATATTCATATAGTATGAAAATGGTTTCTATGCATAAACAAAATGAGTGAGAAATATTTCAGTGCATTAGTTGCAGAAGGCACAGTTTATGGCAGAGATGAGTAAAACATCCATTTTCATTTTACTATACTTTGGGAGACAAATCTGAATGGCTGATGAAACTCACGCAATTCAACATAATAGTGTAATCTTGATGTGGAATTAGAAACATTCTGCAAAAACTCTTCATCATTCCATGAAACAAACTTACGTCAAAGAATATTATGGTTTGTGTTTTGTGCTTTTCGGGAAGTCTGAGAATGCATTATTCTTTATGTTGTAGTGCCCCAAGGAACCAAAATACATAAATAAATAAAAAAGACACGTCAATGTGCAGTGGCAGTCAAAAAGGCAGATCTAATCAGTTTCAGTTACACTGACATTTTATAATAATGGATCCAATCACAGGATTCTTAGCCAACTGGAAGGTACAATGTTACATTTTTTAGTTGAATCTATTCAGTTCTAATATCCTTTCTTTTTGTTGCTGATTGCTATGAAACTTATGTGTAAAAGAGAAGCCACCTTTTATTGGAATTAGTTTTTCACCTATTACTCCTGACCAATTACTTTAGAATTATCACTCAATTCACCACTAGGAAAGTTGGAAAAAAACAAACATATGGATTGTGAAGCAGACATATTTCTTGAAATTGTTTGCCAAGATTTTCAAAGGTGGTTTGGGGCATCTTTTAGGACATCTTAAAAGGGCCTAATTTTCAGAAAGTGCTGAGCACTCATCTGAAAAGCAAGGCCTTTCTCCAAAAAATCATGAGTCATTTTTAAAAATCTTGGTCACTATAAATAAAAACCTTACCCTTACCTTTGGTGGCTTGAATGGATAATCGGACGAAAATGTGATATCCAGGAAAAAAACACCTCCTTCATATACAGAACCTGGGGGTCCAAGTATAGTTGATCTCCATTCATAAATGTTATCTCCTTTCGGGCCAGCACTATTTAAAAAGAGAGAGAGAATCAACTTTACCTTTGTGAGTAACAGCTGTAGTGATTACCATTTTACCAGTTATGTTTAATACCAATCATTTACATGACTTCAGCAGGTGCCAAGCTTCTCATTGACTTCCATGCGGGATTATTGCTTAAAACTAGGCATTGTATGTAGGTACCTAGCTGAATCAGGACCTTAGTCCCTTTGAATGTTCTGCATAACCATTCCACGTTCTGGCAATGCAGTGGATTCATTGGACTATCACTGTATTAAACACAATTCCCATCTTTATGTTCTGGAATATTTAGCTGCAGTAAGCTTCTGTGTTCTGTCCTTCCAGTTACATGGGACATACATATGAAAAAGAAATTATATCTCGCACCCACTCACCACCGGCTCTGGGGCATTAGAAAAAAAATGGTCACCATTTATATTAAGGGCACATTTATAAATAGTTTATAAAGGGTTAATATTATAAACGATTAATAGGTGTTTTGATAAGAGGTTAATTGATTTAGAGATCGTTAGGCTCCAACAGGTGAACAGATTGTTTGTAACCATGGCTTATAGCCATCTATAAACACCATCTACGGATGTGCTTATACCCAACTATAAGATATACCACTCCAGTCTGTAATATCTATTAACCATGTATACAATTAATTATAAAAGTACCTTAAAGTAAAGTGTGATTAACAAGTGTAATAGTGTTAAGCTGTTACATGTTTACTGTCACTTGTTTAGGATAATATAGAGTAAAATTTTGTACTCCCCACACTGGAAAGTTTAATGACAGAGTAGCAACCGTGTTATTCTGTATCCGCAAAAAGAACAGGAGAACATGTTGCACCGTAGAGACTAACAAATTTATTAGAGCACAAGCTTTTGTGGTCTACAGCCCACTTCATCGGATGCATAGAATGGAACATATAGTAAGAAGATATATATAGATATAGATATACATACAGAGAATGTGGAAGTTGCCATACAAACTGTAAGAGGCTAATTAATTAAGATGAGCTATTATCAGCAGGAGAAAAAAAACTTTTGTAGTGATAATCAAGATGGCCCATTTAGACAGTTGACAAGAAGGTGTCAGGATACTTAACTTTAGGGAAATAGATTCAATATGTGTAATGACCCAGCCACTCCCAAGTTTAAGGTTCTCTTATGGGGAAAAAAAATAAGGAATTTCATCTATTGTAACACAGCACCGCCAAATTAATAGGAACCTCCATAACTATATATTTGTGTTACTACATGCTGTATATTTTAAAAATGGTAATATTACAGACAGTTTCCTCAGGAAGGAAAGAGCATGTTATACAAATTTTCTAGCAACTGAATTGATGTCAATATTACAAAACTGTTTATGAAATAATGAGCTAGCATTTTCCCAGCTGCTGGGATGTTAGAATTAATGCTGTAAAAATATGAGTGTGTCTACATCCCTTCTCAAATATTCAAAACAAAACTATTTCTCCATAAAGCAGGCATTGATTTAAAAAATATAAGTAAGCCTCTACAAAAATGTAATTTAAGGTAATGTTTTGATTTTATGTTTGCAGATTCCTCTCTTCACGAGATCCCCGCTGATGGCTGTGCAGAGTAACATAGCTTGAGAAAATGGCAATACGAGCATTCGTGTCTTACTATAAACCAGTTTCTTTCCTGCTTTAATACTCAGAAGAGGAACTTTTTCATCATCATCATTATGCATCCACACATCCTGTGTCATAAACATGGAAGCATTTTTTAGCCTTAAGATGACATTCAAGAGACAGCCAAATGCTGATTTTAATTATGACTTCTCTTCCCGTTATAATTCATAGCTTATTCATGTTTGTTAATCAGTGACTGTTTTATGCACTAAATAATTAGTCTGTTTGAGGCCTTTTCTTTATATGGCAAAAATAATCAGGAATTCTTGCTAGCATTTTTAAATACATTTTAAAAATAATCTCTGGTGGTATTGTAGCTATTGTCCCTTTACCAAAAATAAAAGTAGACAGCTTCCAGGTTATAATGATCTTAACTTTATTGAAAAGAAATACTACGGATAAAATTTGGGCCTGTAAACCTTGACCCACGTCCTTTTGATTTGTATTCCACGTACAAAGGAGTTAACAAAAACTGCAGATCAATTTTAGAAGAAAAAATGAAAACTATGTAGGAGGATGCCAAGCAATAGTTCTTAATGCAGTAAATTGTTTGAACCTCCCATCGCTACTGTAGATTATTCCATTCATGCTTTCTAAAAAGCATTTAGCAATTAGCATAAGATCTAAAAATACTGGAGCAATAATGATAATATTTAAAACCCACATAGGCCACTGAAAAGTTTTAATTAATTCTTGATATTCATCAGGCTTATAGCTAATTAATATTATGCTTGGAAACTAAATTTCTATGAAGCAATTCAATTTCAGCATTAGTTGTCCTAATGGTTATTTTATAGTCTAATGCAGAGGTTAGTGTTCTTGCCTCACATGTCAGCTACCTTTTTCTCATACAATTCTAATGGTCGGATGGCACTCAATCAGATTAATGACATAGCTGAATTACAATAGCGACATATTTCAGCCAAATGAATCAGTCACAATTAAGGACTGTTGTGGTGTCTAGCTTTGAGCCAAAATATCTGGCAATCACTCATCATCTCGGAACAAGGCACCTATCAGTTAATAGCCCAGCATCTAAGTGCAATAACTCTCCATTTATTATTTTGTGTTATCTTCTATGCTACTATTAGTCCTGTATAAAGGGCAAGGTTACATGCGGGGAGGAGAATGCTATTCTGAAGGTTAGAACATTCCACCTTTATAAGAGGGGAAGAAAGTGCTCTATTGGTACAATATTCAACATCCCTCTCACAGCTGAAAAAACAGTGCCACCGCTTCAGAAATAAGATAAAGTTGTAACAGTAAATCCACACAAAGGAGAAAACTGTTACATCAAAAGGTTGGTCACTGTATTGCTTTTAACTGAGGTTTGGGAACTTTGTTACAACAGCTGGAACGGTGCCCCATGCTCCAATAGTGTGAGAGATACTTTAGCTTCACTAATGACTGCAAACTCCAGCAACTGCAAGGTTATTGATGTGTGGAGACCACGCTAAAGAGTGTAACATACAGCGAAGACAACACCTATTTCCAATCAGGCTTTTTCTACAGCGCACTCAACCACTAAGTACAGAACAGCCGCTGGCTAAATGTACCAAGCTACATTTTCTTTTCTTTACCTGTTGAACAAAGCAACACGCACTCCCTCACAGCGCGGATGGAGTATGACTGACACAGGGATCAGCAAACCAGAGAGACTAGAATTACTCACAATAGGATCAGGGCACCAAGGATCCAGTGATTAGGGAGATTGTGGAGAGCACTGGAACCTAAAGGCCTAATTCAGCAAAGTGTTTAATCATGTGTCTACATGAAAAAAATGCAAGTAGCCCTGTGTCCCTGATTCTCCACTAGGTCAATATGCAGCTTAGAGAGAGCGGAGCATGGTGGCTGCAGGGAGCCAGATGCAGCTCGCTGACTACTCAGCCCTGGCAAAAGCTAAAGGGCAGCCCGCACCTAGGCCAGCGGAAGATTGGGAGGTAGTGGAGATTTGCTCTAGCACACATATACATCTAAGTATTCTGGCTATGTGGCATATCTGTGCAGTTAATTGCTACTGTTTTGCTGCCCTACCACATTAGTTGCTGGCACATCCAAAATTCAGTTAGCACACTTTAATAATGCAGTGTGAACATGAGCAATATGTTGGGGGTTCTCTTTTTTTAATCTTTTTTTTTTTTCAAACAGGCTAAAAAAAACCAAAGTAACAAAGCAATCACATTTTTTCAACGTGACAAGAGAAATCTATGCTTTAAAAATTACAGAAAATTTTACTTTATAGGTAAAAAAAATGGATTAGTGCAATTAGAGATTTATTGCTAAAATAAAGTTAACCAAAACCAGCTGCTGCTTAAATACCTGCTGCTTCACTGATGGGAAGGACTGTGACACAAGGTACGTCTACACAGATGCTGGAAGGTGTAATTCCCAGCATGGGTACGCATACCTGTGCTAGCTCTGCTCAAGCTGCCTAAGGGCAGGTCTACACTACTGCTTAATTTGATCTAACTTACACTGCCCCGAAGTAGCACTGTAGGGTAGGCTTGCCCTGAGTACAATCTTGCCTGACCTCCAGGTACAAACAAAGGGTGGCCAGCCCGAGCCACCACAGCCACTCTGCTATTTTAAGGTGCTATTTTAATGTGCACGTTTACCTGTGCTGGGAATTACACCTCCCTGGTAGATGTATCCCAAGACAGGACAAAGGACATATACGTATCTGATCTGAATGACAAGCTGAAGCAATGTATGTAACAGAACCTCAAGATGAGTACACATGCAATCAGGGTACTGTGTAATCCTAGGACTGTAACCGTTGCTCTCCCATGCTCCTTTCCCTGGCCATCCTTTTCTTGCAGGGCATCTAAAATTAAGCCTTGTCTATACCAGTCTTTTCTCCCTAAAACTTCCTGTCATTGCTAAAACCAGTGCAGCTCTAGTGAAGAAAAAGTGTCAGCAGTTTTATTCTCAGGTCTTGTACATCTGCTCTGGATGAGTTAAGCGATGAACAAAACTGCAGGAGCCTGGAGACCTGTCTACACCAGCACTTCCATCAATGCTATGCTTGTGAAGTTGCCACATTGGGTGCAAAGGTGGAAAACTTGGAGAGAAAAATGTTAGATACATCCCTTGGCCTGATCCTGCAATGAGCTTTGTGTGGGTGCAGGGGACTGTCTGCCCAGAGATCAGGGTTTTAGTGCTTGGTCCTGCACCACTGATGTCAATGGAAGCAGGAACAGCTATTAGCTTGTAAGTTCTTTGGGACAAGGACTTGGTCTTTTTATATGATTCTGTAAAGTGCCTAGGATACTCTGGGGCAATTTGAAAATAAACACAAATATAATTTCTAGTCTGAATTTGGTCTGAGATCTGTAGCACTACA